AGTTTTTTAGAATAGTACTCATTAAATAATTTCTTAGTTTTTGATTAGTGGATATGTAGCATTTGCTTATTTCGATCATGATTTGGTCAATTTATATTTTTTAATCCATTCGTTGATTTTCTATTTGAAAAGAAAATATAAAAAGATCGAGTGGGACATCTTATAATGAAACATTTAGACTTTTTTTATTTCATTGAGTGTCGTACATTCTTTGTCATGAGTTTAGCCTCTTATGGCGCGAGTTCATTCGAAATTTTTTAAATTTCAGCTCATCCTAATGTTATTTTCTGGCTCCGCCCTTGAAAGCGGGTATAATTCAAAGGACTATTCATCTGACAAATTAGTCGTATCTTCATTCTCAAAAATTTTATCATTTGACGAGAATATCTCCATACTTCTTTCAATGAGAAAGCAGAGTTGCTCACACTTATTTGTGTCACAAGTCACATAATTTATCAAATGCAAAATGTAGGGATAAGAGAAAAAATGAACAGCATACAGTAACTTGAAAAAAAGAACAACGAAGAGAAGCTAGAAAAAAAAAAGTGTTAAGAGTGACAGGGCACAAAAGTCGATAGTGTTTTCAAATTTCAAGCAGTGATCATTTAATACAGGATAGAGGCTATTCAAAATCATCTTTGCAACCCATTTTGTTACCTATCACGTCATTACCTCACTGCATAAAGCTCTGAAAGACGTCAACAAATTGCTATCTATTGCTCACTTAAGCACTGTTTGAGCCACCTTTTTGTAGAATGAGAATGAAAAATACAGTCATTATTGAGGCCCACACAAGAGATAGAAAATTTGAATTTAAATGTTAATGTGATGGACAACAATCATATTTTTCATTTTAATGAGATAAAAAGGTGACCCAAATGGGGGCTTAAAGGAAATAACTACAATTATATCAAAATTTGAAACAACTTCATTACATGGACAACTGGATTTCACCCCAGAAATGCTTAAATCTTTTTCCAGTCACAATAAAATCTGAAAGTTGACAAGCATAAGAAAGCCAAATAAAATCAACACAGGTCCAACGCTATAAAAAGAATCTGATAGCATGGTTCAATTTCCATTCGTCGTTTGAAATGTGTCAAAAAAAAAAATCACTTCCTAAAAATCATATTCCGGTGGGATTCGAGGAATGATGTGGCCGCATCAAAGACCAAAACAATGTTACTTTACAAATTTTTCCCAAAAAAAAAAAAGGGTGACGTTTTGGTCATATTGTCTCAACTAAAACTTACACAAGAAAATCAAAATCCCTACATGCTCAGTTCCAGTGCTCCCAGACCATGTTTGCAGTCCAAATGATAGGAAATCAAGTACAAAAGGTGCACCCTTCGCATTACATATATATTTATATTAGACCTTAAATATATCGATTTTTTCTCAAATCATTTTTCTTAAGATAGTAGCTTGAAATACTAAGATCTTGTTTGGGAGGGATTAGATTTTTCTACAGTAAATCAATTCTCATTTTCAACCATACATTCTTCAATAAAATAATATTTTCCATCATATCAATAATTTTTTCTTCTTTTTCAACCACACATTTCCCATCATATCACTATTCAAAATCAATTTTTCCCCCAAAAATATCTCCCAAACAAGTTCTATACTAAAAAAACGACAAATACTATCCAGAAACATAAGCAATATCTTTAATACACAATGCTCCAACAAATGCATCTCAAATAATGAAAAAAGTTGGACGACAAGATATAAATTCAAAAGAAATGAGCAGGTAACACGGAAATTAAAACCACCACTTAACTAATGCTCCACTAAAAGTGTGGCAAATGCTATCAAGAAGCAAGTTTCAAGTATGGTAAAAGCAGTATGTGACAAAAATTATTGCATTTTATAGGCAAGAAAAAGTAGTCAAAAATCATAATGTGACTTCAATATAACCCCAAACTTTATCGTGAAGCCAATAACGGACATCTCTATAGTAACCCAGACTTTTATTCCCGAAACAGAATCTTAGACAACCAAAAGATATATAAATTTAAACCCTGTTTGTTTTCACTAAAAATAAAAATTCTTACTGTTGCTACAGTAAAAAGAGCCGTCTTTGACCTCTTTCTCTCATAGTAGGCTCCAATGCTTTGAAAAAAAGGGTAAAAAAAATCCATTTTTAGGTTAAAACAATGGGAAACACACATGGGCTAAGTTAATGAAGTATGAGCAACTGATTTTAAAGGGAGTGTGGATGAGGTCAAACCTTAAATACAAATGTGTTATCCTTGGAGACATTGAGAATTTCAAATGCCTTCAAATAGGTGTCTGAGAATAGTTTAGCATGTTCACAGTTACTTCCAAGAACTACAATATGAAAGAAATTTGACAGTCCAAGAGTCGAGATCATCTGTTCAGCATTTGGTCTTGGAGCATTAGTAACAGCAGCTTGTTTCAGACCACGGTCTTCTATCCATTTTTTCATGTATGATTTTTGACAGTCCATGAGTCGAGATCATTTGTTCAGCATTTGGTCTTGGAGCATTAGTTACAGCAGCTTGTTTCAGATCACTGTCTTCTATCCATTTTTTCAATTTGTACAAACCATTTACAGGTTTCAACTGCTCCTTAACCAACTTGTAGTTTTCGCTCAAAATAATATTTGTAAAGGCAAAGTTGCAATATGGATGGCTGCACAAATTATCTTCAAATGCAATTGTACTGTTAGGAAAAAAATAAAAATAAAAATAAAAAGCACCAGAAAAGCGTCTTCCTAGGGCATTGAAGTACAAAATACAACAGAGTCCAAGGTTTCCAAACCTCAATACTTGGCCTCTAACGTTGTGTATTTTCGGTTTAGGTATCGTGTATTCAAAGGCTCTAACGTTTTCTTCACTTAGATAATGAAAAAATAAGTTCAAAATCCACAAAATTTGAAACTCAGATCATCAGAAATGAACAAATGAAGAAATGATTCCTAAAAAGTAAACAAACCTAAACTGAAGAAACAAATAAGCCTAAAATGAAACAACTACGAAATTGACGTACCTGGGGTCGCCGGTCTCCTATTTCAGTACCTATTTTCTCCTTCTCTTGGAAACTTGAAGAAAACTTCGCAATGAAAGAGGAAAAGAAATTCCCACTTCACAACAAATCTGAACAAAATACAGAAGAACGTCAAAATGAAGCTACAATTCGTAATTTTCAGAATGACTTTGTGCAAATGATTTGGAAACTTGAAGAAAAGTTCGAAATAAAAAAGGAAAACGAACTCCCACTTCACAGTTACGTAACAAAATAAACAAAAACTTTAAAATAAACTTGCGATTAATACGTTTGAGGATGACTTCGTGCAAATGATTAGGATATGAATTCTGTCAAATGAAGATATTAATGTTGAGTCAAAAGTTAGTGAAGACGAGTGAATCAATGAAATGTGTAGAGCTATTTTTGGTTTCAAAAGTGACAAATGTCGAGCACCTTTTAAACTATTATAGTGAAAATGATGTGGCAATGAAATCTCGTACTAATGAAGATATTATTCAAGGGGTACTCAATACACTTATCAATGCTTATCACGATCCGGATGATAATCCTGTTTACCAACTATTTCTTTAAAAGAGGCATTTCAAGCAATCGTAACTTTAAATAACTAATTTGTACAAAATGAAAAAAAATATGTCAAATGTAGCACGTACTTTTAAAAAATTAAAAATGAAGTTGAGTTCGATTTGGGTACAAAGAAAAAGCAAAATACTTTAGATGCATATTTTGAAAAAGAATTGAATTGAAGAAAATATTGTCAAATTAAGTTTGGTAATTTGTATTAGCCCTTGTTTGGCCCCCATTAAATTATATTACATTACATTAATTTTTTTTTTCTCTTCATCAAATAAAATAATATTACACACAAATCTAAAACTTTTCATTACTTTTCCACCGCACATTCTCCCATCAATCCATATTCCAAAAATTTTCAACCATAAAAAATGCAAAATAATGGAAGCCAAACAGGGGCTTAGTATAAACTTTTGTGAATTTAATCATTTATTATTTTATATATTCATTTGGTCTTAAAGGATCTCAAAAAAAAAAAATTTACTACCTTATACATTTAACGGGGTTATTAATTTCGTACATTAGTCCAAGTCGGAATCTAAGAATTTTATTATTTAAGCGAGATTATTAATTTATTGAACATTCATTTATCGAGATTTTATTGTCATATTGTCTCTCTTTTATTTAACCTCTGTTTTATGTGATTATGAATTATTAAAATTAAAAATTATTTTACTCACACATTTTATGAAAATCACAAATATTTATTCATACATTTTCATCAATTTTTATCTTCTAAAATTTTAATTTTTATCCAAGCGGCTAAACCAATCAATTTTTTTTTTTTCATTTTCTATATTTATATAATTAAGCATTAAAAACCTAGAGATGAAGTTCCATCCAAAATGTAATTAAAAATTCTTAGATATATTCAAAATTTTCCAAATGAACAATGATCGTGTTCAAACTGCAAATCCTCTAACATTTAACGAAAAAAGTGATTATCAATTTTTTATTATCAAGCAAATCGGAATTATTTTAGGCGTTTGGTAGATTTCTAAACAGTGATTACAAAAGAACTTGTACCATCTGAAAGTTGATTATAAGAAACAACAAAAGGGTAATTTCCTAGATTCTGCTTTTAGAGTGTGTTTGGTATAGATTAAAATCGGATTATAATTGAAAAATTAACCGTTATTGTTGACTTTTATTAGACGAGTGGGACCAAATAACGACTATATTTTCAATTTTAATTGATTTTGATTTATCCCAAATTAAAATTCATTAGCCCATTTTAATTTGAAGCAAATGAATATACGTTGGCCTTGTATGAGACGGATTAAAATCGGATTAAAATTGAAAATATAGCCGTTATTGTTGACTTTTATTAGACGAGTGGGACCAAATAACGACTATATTTTCAATTTTAATTGATTTTGATTTATCCCAAACAAGTTCTTAATTGCTCCAATTATCTATAACTAGAATATCAATTTTAACTCTACCTAATTAGATTAATTCATTTTCTCCTATATGGACTATGCTTTTATTTTGTAAGCTTATAAATTTTTGAAATTTTAATTAAAATTTATAAAATATTTTAAGCGTCTATTTAAGTCTCATTCTTTAAAATACATTTTTCCTCGAATTCATTTTCCATTACACATTATCTCAACAAATAATTTTGCACATAAATTCAAATGTTTCTTTACTTTTTAATCACACGTTTTTCCAAAAATCACTTTTTACAAAGTTTATCCTCAAAAAATGGCTCCAACAATGGCCAGGCTTTTCAAATTTAAAACAAATATAGTGAATTCTTAGAAAATATTTGATAATACTTATTAAAATGTGAAAATAAATGTTACAGTAATATTGATGATGATGATAATAATATTAATACAAAAAAAACCAATGCCCATTTTCAGTAATCGTGTACCACTATCACTACTAGAAAGTGGGGCAATAGAGACGAATATTTGGCAACGAACGTCTTCCGCTGCTAATACCAACGGACTAACAACAAATTAGCAACGAATTATTACTTTTTCATTATTAAAAACTAAATACTAAATTAATAACAGAATTAGCAACATAAGACTTTCGTTGGTAGATTTTTGTTACTAATTCGACGGTAAAAATTTAAAAATGATAAATAATAAATTAAATAATTTAGTGACAACGTCAAAATCTGTTGGTAAACATTGTAAGTAAAAATTTAAAAGTATTATATAGTTACCAACAAAAAAATTCTGTTTGAAAACTCAAAAAAATTTAATTCCCACCTAAAATTTGATTTGCCTCTAGAATTGACAAAATATCTTCCAACACAATGGGCTAAAATTAGAAAATGAGAAAGACCCAACCCAACCCTAGCCTTCCATTTCTCTCTATCGCTCTCTCCCTGCCTTCCCAGTTTCCCTCGAATCATGGACGTCAACCCTAACCTTCCAGTTATCGGCAACCGACGGTCGCCGGTAGTCCATGGTCAGTCACAACAGATAGCCTTCAATTTTGTCGCTCTACTTCCACGGTTGTGACTTCAAAGCGATAAGTTGTTAATCTCCTTCAAGAAATTGTGGGTTGTTTCTTGATTTTCAAAGTTTTCTGTGCGTTGTGCACATCTGGCTCTCCCTCTGTTGACTGTTGTCCTCATCCAGCTCTCTCATCTCTGCAGCTATGCCTCCGTTCTCCACTCCATGTATAATTTCATACCGTTTTTTATGTTTGAGCTGGGTCTGCATTTGATTTCATACCCTTTTTGATGTTTGAGGCTTTAAGCTTGATAAAAAATTCATGTTGAAATTTGGGTATTGTTGAACTTGAATTGAAATTGTTGTGTTGTCAGTAGTCTCTGTCCGATGCTAATTAATTTTATGGAATTGAAATTAGGTATTGTTGAAATTTGGGCATTGTTGAATTGGAATGCTAATCAAATTGTTTTGTCAAATAAAAAAGTTCTTTAATGTGTAGTCTATAGTCTCTGTCTGATGCTAACTAATTTTTGGGCATTATTGATTTGGAATGATGGGTTTGCCTTGGTGACTATTGACTAATTGAAATTTCTTGAATGTTGTAGTCTGTAGTATTGCTCCGTGCCTCAGTACTTTTGTGAATCTGTAATTCTGTGAATTGCTATGTGAATTACTCTATGATATGAATTGCTTCCAATATTGCTATGTGAATTGCTGAGGGGATGAGAATGGATCATTAGAGATTGTTGAACTTAATTAGAGTATTTGACTTTATTTTATTTGATTCTTGATTTGGTTATAACTTGCTTTTGCTTCCAGTAATTTGAAATTGATGCTTTTGATTGATCTATATTACAAATATTTAATAACCCATGTCTATCTATAATCAAAAACCAAAAAATAGAAGAATCAATTCTCCTACCTCACTTTAAGTTATAGTTAGTTTCTCTTATTTTTAGAGTTTGTGATTTATATTGTCAGTTTATGACCAGTCTGCATTTACTATAATTTTCTAGATTTCAGGTGGAATTGAGCTTCTGTGTTTTGCTTGTTGTTGTATGGAATCCTTGGGATAAGAAGGCAAAGGCAATGGCCGATTTTGGAGATGATGAATACAAGCACATGTTGTGTGTTGAGGTTGCTGCAGTGGAAAAACCTATCACTTTGAAGCTTGGTGAGGAGTGGAGAGGAAGATAGGAACTTTCTGCTGTGCCTTCAAGTTACTGCAGTGGGCAGCTTGATCTTCAGAGTCCTGGGCAACTGAAAATTTGTCTATATTGAAATGTCCATCTATTATCTTGTTTCTCTTGAACTTTAATTAATTTTGAGTGTCTGTAAATTTTAATTTATTAACTTCCCTAAAAAAAAATAATTTTAAATAGTTATTCATTTTTTTAATTTTTTTTTTCAAATTTGCGACGGAAAAATTGTAGCTAATATCGTTACTAATTAGCTACAATTTTGTCCGTCGCTAAACACCGACAGAATATTTCGTCACTAATTACGACGACAAAGAATTTCGTCGGTAAAATTACCAGCGGGCGTTTTACCGATGGATTTACCGACGAATAAAATCAGTTTGTAAAAGTCTTTAGCAACGGAATTTAAGGCTTCAGCGAAGAAAATTTCCTTCTCTGAAGCCACATTTTCTTGTAGTGTATGAATCACTTATGTTTATCAAACACCGATATGTAAGGAAGTTTTTGGTTGTGCTTAATATTATTTTATTAACAATTGTGTGGTTGAAAAAAATAGAGATAAAAATGTATTTAAAAAAAAAAATATATAGATCAAACAAGGTTATAATTTATATCCTTAGAGCATTTTCAAGAGGTTGCTTAAACATTATATGCTCTCTAATTTAAATAGTGAACTTTTAAAATTAAGCTGAAAATGACTCTATAAATTAACATTCCAAAGTATTTCAATTTTTTTGCTAATTAGCTACAATTTTGTCCGTCGCTAAACACCGACAGAATATTTCGTCACTAATTACGACGACAAAGAATTTCGTCGGTAAAATTACCAGCGGGCGTTTTACCGATGGATTTACCGACAAATAAAATCAGTTTGTGAAAGTCTTTAGCGACGGAATTTAAGGCTTTGGCGAAGAAAATTTCCGTCTCTGAAACCACATTTTCTTGTAGTGTATGAATCACTTATGTTTATCAAACACCGATATGTAAGAAAGTTTTTGGTTGTGCTTAATATTATTTTATTAACAAATGTGTGGTTGAAAAAAATAGAGATAAAAATGTATTTAAAAAAAAATATATAGATCAAACAAGGTTATAATTTATATCCTTAGAGCATTTTCAAGAGGTTGCTTAAACATTATATGCTCTCTAATTTAAATAGTGAACTTTTAAAATTATGCTGAAAATGACTCTTTAAATTAACATTCCAAAGTATTTCAATTTTAATGGAGAAAAATAATATAATAATTTGGAGAAAAACTAGTGAAAATAGAAGATAGAGAAAAACAATAAATATTATAAATATTTTTCAAGAGTAGTAAAATTAATCCCATGTTTGGGCTCCATTAAAAATTTAATGAAATTTTTTTTCTTCTTTTCAACCGCATATTTTTCAATAAGATAATGTTACAGGTAAATTCAAAAATTTTCTTCTTTTTTAACTATACATTTTCCAAAAATACAATTTCAAAGTACATTTTTCTCCCAAATCAGATTTTAATGAAGCCCAAACAAGAGCTAATTGTTAAATATAAAAAGTTTGTTAAAGTACTCAAAAATTTGTACTCTTTGAACGATTCTAGCCTTACCATAATTACATTATTTCAATAATACATTTCTTTTTCATTTTTCAATATGTATTTAATTTATTTAACTATTTAGTTACCATCAATCAATATGTACGTTTGGCAAATTTATCTCACACGTGTGCTTTCATTGATGTATGATTTCCTTATTATTAATTTTCAATTAATTAACATTCACATTTATTTATTTAATTAATTTCATTTTTATTTATGTATGTCAGCCATATTAATTCTGATTATAAGTTAATTAGAATTTTACATTCAAAAAAATATTTCATTATTCACGTCCATATATACTAATTAACATCAAGTTTTATTTAATTGAAAATTAAATAAATGATTTAACATTCATTGTTATTTATATATTATCTGGTATTAATTCTAAATTAATTAACATTCATTCATATTCAAATATTAATTTTACAACACTCATAAAACATTTTGTAATAACGTGGAACGTACGTTCAATTTTAACTAATAGCACTTAAAATTCTCAATCTTTATTCATTATTGCACTTATATCTCTAACGTTTTTTCTTGACATTCACATCCTCAAATTTATATTAGTTAACAAATCTTGTATTTAATAACAATTATTACTCAAAAAATATGTTGAAGGACAAAGACGACTTACATTCCATTATATTTAAAAAAAATGATAAATACATATTTTCACTCATTTTAAAGCATTAAAATAAAATATTTTGACAAAAATCATCATCTATAACGAGATATACTAATTAATGGAAGGATAAATATAAAGAATTCCACCTAAAAAAGTTAAGGAAATAATCTTTACAATGAACAAAGATTGAGAAACTTAACTACAATTAAAATGTGGTATATAAAATAAAAATTTTGGTGCAATATAATCACTCATTTAAAAATAAAAAGTATCTCGTAGGTACTATTAGTTCATATTTGCCTCTTCATTTTTTTCCAAAAATATATTTTTCCAAAATTCATTTTCAATCACACACACACACACATATATATATATACACATATATATTATTCCATAAAATAATGTTATACGTTAACTAAATATTTTATTTTTTAATTACATATTCTCTAAAAAAAATTATTATTTCAAATTTACTTTAAAATTCTCATTTGGAGCCCAATTTATTTCTTAGAAAGTTATTTTAAAAATGAAATTCATTTCTAGCAGTGGCATAGGTGAACTGTGAAATCATGAACAGCAAAGATAAAAAATTTATTAGGGGCGTGTTAGGTAAAGATTAAAATCGGATTAAAATTGAAAAATTAGTCGTTATTGTTGACTTTTATTAGACGAGTGAGACCCATTAACGATCATATTTTCAATTGTAATAGGAAACAAACGGCTAAATGTGCCATGACTAGGAAGGCCGTCATCTTTTTACCTAACCGCCTTGTAACGCGAGAAAAACCTACTCATTTGGAAAACCTCGAAATGAACTCTTTTTCATCCAACCATTTACAACACGCCACGTCACAATTTTCGTTCAGATTTTCCGCCAGTTTCCGAAAATACCCACACAACCCCTTATTTCAAAACTTCATCGCGTCGCACATCTCTCTCTCAGATGTGCAAACTGAGAACTGGCATCGCCTAACATCTAAACCCACACACACAATCATTCGCTTTCTCTCTCTATATCTCCCTCTCTCTCTACATATTTGTGTGCAGTGAGTATATGCCCATCTGTATGTATATCTGTGCTGGTCTGGTGTTATTAGTTTGTTAGACGACAGCGTTCTGGAGCTAGGGTTTTTGCTCTGAGGACTAGGGTTATGACGGAACGAGTAGACGTACGACTGGGGCGGAGTTGAGAGATCAAAGGTGTGGCTTTCGTCTCCGGATGGAGGGAGGTAGCGTCTCTAGACTTACTTCTTCTGGTACTCTTCATTACCTTCAGTCACTTCGTCTACGCGTATGCATTCGTAAATATTGAGTCTAAAATTCAGTTAAAAAATTTGGGCCCTTTTTGTGTATTACTGAATGGCATACTTGTAATAATTTAGTAGGCTGATTTCGGATTGTATTTAAGAGATACTTTTTCTCTTTTCTTTAAAAGATTTCCATAAATTGAAGTTTACAGAATTATTTCACCTTAGAGTTTTTCTCTCCCGATTTTCTCACTGTTTTTAATAGAACCCCAATTCTTCAATTCTATCTACTCGTATGTTGGTTGAAAGCAGCGGTGGCTTGAAGTTAAAAACTTGGTCTTGTTCGTATATTCGTATCCATATGGTGAGTTGTGTTGGGGAACCACATTTTCCCTGTGATTTAAATGAAAGGTAGATGTTTTGAGTATTTATGGTTCATCCCCACCACCGACTTCTTTTAGAAAAAATAAATTTGAGTATTTACTTTAGTTGTTCAAAGAAGACGGTTTTTAATCTTCCATTGAATTTGGTTTTAGTTTTCCAGCTATTAGTTTCTAACCTTCAGTTGATTTATGTTTTTGCTTATAAGTTAATTTTCCGGTACCTTACGACTAAA